GCCCGCTAAATCAAACATCTTATTGAACCCAAACTTCCCTAACATGAATTCTTGCTTCAGCCACAAAAACGAATGACCAACCCAGTGAGTCCTAATACAGAACTAGGCAAAACTAGAATTCCTGGTGTGTCTGCAGATGATCTATTTTGGTATTAGAAATTCTTTCTGCACACTCTAATTATTCTTGGCATGCTTAATGTAAATGCACATGTGTATGAGCACGAACATTTTAGGAGGACTTTTCGATTTCCGTTGTAGCATCACTGCACAGGGCATCTTGGCTGTGTTCTCTCTTCCCCTCTTTACTTTCTCCCCTTTATTGTTGTCGCTTTTGAGAAACAGTGACTCATGTTTTATTCCAGCCAGCTCAAACTGAAGTTCTTTTAACTTTGGCTCCATCCTGTACTCTGCCTGTGATATTTCTTTCAGCTATAGGCATATTTATGACAATTTTCACATCAGTCCAGTAATAAATTATACAGCATCCTAAATTTCCAAAGACAGGGGATTGGAATAATGTAACAGGGACCCTACAACATGGACCCTAAAGAATTAAAATCACCTCTAAAATCCAGTGCTGGGAAGAAAATTGGATGAAGCCCTTGCATCAGAGGAGGAGGCAGTTCCTTCCCATGAAGTGGTTTAAGGAATTCTGACAGCTTACCTCACAGCTAAGTCACCATGCTTATTTCATGGCTTTTGTTTCATCTTTCCTATGAAACTGTAAGATTTTATAGAAGCCTTACACAAGAGGCTGTGAAGAGGAGTAGGAGGTTTTCTTGTCCAAGCTATGGAATACTGTAAACAAGTACAGTGTTCTTTTTTTCTCTTTTCTTTTTTAAAATCAATTTCTGTCCCAATTTCTTTTGAAATAAAGGGAAACTAAAGTAAGGGTCTAAGTATCTCAGTACCTGGTAACAGTAGCACAGGTGTTTTGTCCACATTAATTCTTGCAGCCTACCAGCATGAGGTATATTTTCATTTATTTGTGCTCTTTCTTTTTTTTTTTTTTGGTCTTTTTTCTTTATTAAGAAATTTTTTATTCATTTTAAATACCAACCACAGATCCCCCTCTCTTCCCTCCTCCTGCCCCCCTCCCATCCTTCCCTCCCAATCCACCCTCCATTCCGTCCTCCTAAAAGGTAAGTTATCCATGGGGAATCCACAGAGCCTGGTACATTCAGTTGAGGCAGGTTCAAGCCCCTCCCGCTGCATCAAGGCTGTGCAAAGTGCCCCACCATAAGTAATGGGCTCCAAAAAGCCCACTCATGCACCAGGGATGGATCCTGATGCCACTGCCAGGGTCCCCTTAAGGAGACCAAGCTACCCAAATGTATCGCTTATGCAGAGGGTCTAGTCCAGTCCCGTGGAGGCTCCACAGTTGTTGTTCTAAAGTTCATGAGTTCCCACTAGTTTTGTTCGATTGTCTCTGTAGGTTTCTCCATTGTGATCTTTTAATTTTTTAAAAATTTTTGTTTATTTTTATTTTATGTACTTTGGTATTCTGCCTGCATGTCTATGTGAGGGAGTCAGATCCCCTGGAACAGGAGTTACGGACAGGTGTGAGCTGCTATGAGGGTGTTGGGAATTGAACCTGGGTCCTCTTGAAGAGCAAGCAGTGCTCATAACCGCTGAGCCATCTCTCCAGCCCCCCGTTGTGATCTTTATGCCCCTTGCTCATAGAATCCCTCTTCTCTCTCTTCAACTGGATTCCTGGAGCTCGGCCTGGTGCTTGGCTGTGGATCTCTGCATCTGCTTCCCTCAGTTACTGGAGAAAGGCTCTATGATGACAGTTAGGGTATTCAACAATCTGATTACTGGGGTAAACCAGCTCAGGCACCCTCTCTACTATTGCTAGTAGTCTAAGCTTGTGGTCATCTTTGTGGATTCCTGGGAACTTCCATAGCATCAGGTTTCTCCCTATCCCTGTAATGTCTCCATTGATGTTTATAGTTTTCAGGATACAGTTCCTTTACTCCCATGGTTTCCCTTTTCCCTTCTCTCTTAAAAATTATGAGCAGATTGATAACCAATTCACTTAAAATACAATGACATCGTTCAATTAAAAAAAATGAAAGAATGGAGGGCTAAATGAAACAACCTTGTGCTTTTCTACTTCACATACAGTTGTTTCATTTACCACTTCTGCGTTTGTTTTTTATAAGGGATGTATCATACAGGATGTTTTGAGTGTGCCCACCTTGACCTGCAAAGTATCCTCGATATTAAAATACAGTACAGAAGTATAGACATAAAGGAACATTTTAAAAAAATACTTTCTCACTCAATATCATTGCTAAAGATTTTCTTAAGATTTCCAGATGACTGCACATTTCCACATAGATTTTCTTTTCTTCCATGTTCTATAAATGATTGTTTTAGAATGCTTTGCTTTATAAAGCATTCTAGACATCATCTCTGCTATTGACAATTTAATGCTATAAAACGCTTGTATGTTATTTTAACAGCTAAATAACAGAATGTTAAAAATGAGATGTCATTTATGGTTCTATAAATGGAATAACAAAATATCAATATCTGTTCTTTGTTGTGATTACTCAAGGACTGATATTAAATACAACTTTGGCACTTCAATATTATTTATAATCTGAAGATTAGAGTCTTGGATCTATGAAGGAAAATATTCTCAAAAAATACTCCAAGGTCCCAGTTGGAGCAATGGGGGAACAACACTCAAAAAGGGGGCGGGGTCACGGTCTAAGTAGGCCTTACAAAGTCTGAAATCCAACCAATTTATTTTTTAACTAAATTTATTTATTTTATATCCTGACCAGTTTCACCTCTGCTCCTCCTATTTCCTCCCTCCTCCCCACCCCCTCATCCACTCTTCCTCTGTTTCTGTTCAGAAAGCGGCAGGCCTCCCATGGGTATCAACAAAACAAGGCATATCAAGTTGCAGTAAGACCAAGCACTTCCCCTTGTATTAAGACTAGACAAGGTAATCTAGCATGACGAATAGGTTCCCAAAAGCCAACCAAAACTCTAGGGACAGCTCCTGCTCCCATTGTTAGGAGTCCCACAAGTAGACCAAGCTACACAACTGTCACATGTAGAGGCTCTAGGTAGGTCCCATGCAGGCTCCCTCAACCAAACTATTTTAACCTGTCTTTGGCATGAGGCAGTCTCTCCCACTCTTGGTTGCTTCTAGAGATAGAGTAAATCTTATTTTAGTGAGTAAACTTCTCCCAGAGTTCCTACCATTTATTCTACATACAATTTGACATTTACTGACAATTACAAGGACTTCTATGAAAAAGGACCAAAAGACAAACATGCACAATTAGCAGGGGATCCAAATATAGCTCCTCTAAGACACAGACTCTAAAGTAACTGGTATTATTGTACCCTTGAAAATAGACAACCAGCTGAATAGAATGCAGGCAACTTAAAATACAGGAGAACTTAGAATGATATACAAATTACTTAGAGTTGTGAAGTTGATAAATACGATGACTATGAACTAAGCAAATGAGTTTAACAATAAATTAGACAAAGTTGAAGAAAACTTGGCAAGTTGGAGGCACGTCTATACAGATCTGTTGACTGACACATGAAGAAAAAGGAAGATGAACAAAGGCGGTTAGAATTGTATGATGGAGAAATCCACCACGTGCATGACAAGGCTACATTAAATACACATAGCATATAGTGACTGGCTCTTTCCTCTGATCCTCAGATAAGCTTTATTAGGGTGCACAATCTTTTGGGGGACACAATATATCACCACAATCCACACACTTGTGAACACCTGATTTTTGATAAAGAAGCCAAAACTGTACAATGGGAAAAGGGAAGCATCTTCACCCAAAGCTGAGAATGTTATCAGGCAGCATCTGAGGCCCACAGGAGAGATTCCTCCATCTTGCTGTAACTGCCCATCTGATGTGCCCACTGATATATTTTTTAAATTACACAAAAAAGAAAGCATCTTCAAAAATCGTGCTACATAACTGGATGTCAACATGTAGAAGATTACAAATAGATCCATATCTATCACCATACACTCAAATCCAAGTGGATCAAAGACCTCAACATAAATCTAGCTACACTGAACCTGATAGAGGAGAAAGTAGGAAGTAGCCTAGAAATCTTTGCCACAGGAGACCACATCCTAAATATAACACCAGCAGCACAGATACTGAGAGCAACAATTAATAAATGGGACCTCCTGAAACTGAGAAGCTTCTGTAAGGCAAAGGAAACAGCAAATAAGATAAAAAGACAGCCTACAGAATGGGAAAAGATCTTCACCAACCCCACATCTGACAGAGGGCTGACCTCCAAAATATATAAAGAACAATTTTCTTGTGTTATCCAGCATGGCCAATAGTCAGTGAAGTTTGGAGGTTTTCTATTGATGATTGATGCATTTCTAAATAATGTGGAACTCCAATATTCCCAGCCAGGACTTTCATGGTACGTGTAATTTAAGATGCACAAAAAGCCAACAAGTCTAGTATTTTGTTATCTATTCAACTAATACATTTTTTTCTATTTCTATTTCAGAAGAAATTCAAAGTACATGTAAATGGAGCTTAATGAATAATTATTGTAGCATTGTCCTTGAAGCTACTTAAATTATCCTCCCTTTTTCGCCACAGTCTAAGCAGGTGATAGAGTATATACAGATGAAAATTGCTAATAATAATTCTTCTGATGATATAATGCTAAAGAATGAATGTGAATATTAAAACATACTGAATTAAGAATGATTATGAATAATAGGACTACCAGGGAATGATTGATTAAACTTGCTTAAACATAGGACAGTCATAAATAAAATGACATTCTCAGGAATTGTTTCATCTATTATTGTTTATTACTCAAACCATCCAAAGAAACATAGAACAAGAGTTCTGTGTGCTCCAAAATGAAAACAAAGGAAAACTAAATATTGAGTTGTTTGATTTATGAAGAAAGCATATGTCATATCTAGAAATGTTATTATTCCATATTTATAAAGCTTCCGTATTGTGATATTGTGTTCCCCAAAATATTGTGCACCCTAATAAACTTATCTGGGGTCAGAGAACAGAACAGCCACTAGATATTGAGGCCAGAAAATGGTGGCACTCATACCTTTAATCCTAGCATTTCAGAGGCAGAGATCCGTCTGGATCTCTGTGAGTTCAAAGCCACACTGGAAACAGCTAGGCATGGTGACACACTCCTTTAATTCCAGGAAGTGATGGCAGGAAGCAGAAAGGCTTATAAGGTGTGAGAACCAGGAACTAGGGCCTGGTTAAGCTTTTAGCCTTTTGAGCAGCAGTTCAGCTGAGATACATTCAGATGAGGACTCAGAGGCTTCCAGTCTGAGGAAGCGAGATCAGCTGAGGAATTGGCAAGGTGAGGTTAGCTGTGGCTGGTTCTGTTTCTCTGATCTTTCATCATTCATCCCAATACCTGTACCCGAGTTTTTTTTTTTTTTCATTTATAAGACCTTTTAAGATTCATGCTACACTTCCAGAAGATGGGGAAGCTGAATATGAGTAGGGTCCTGAATAGCAGCAGGTACACTTAAATCTTCAGAAAATATTCAAAGGTATTGCCAAAGTAATACCTTGGAAATCAAAGAAGTTTAATTATCAAGTATAATTAGAAGTATTAAAAACATTTAATCACACTGATGGGCACATTTGAACAAATTCCATACTATTACCTTGGAAGAGCCATTGGGATTTTGGTATGAACAATTACCACAAGAAGCTTCCAGTTTTATGCCTTTTGGAAAGCAATAGTTGGCTAGTTGAACATTACTTTAAGCTCCTTTTGTTGTGGAAGAATGTGAAGCTATTTTGTGAACTGTAATATGCATAGTATGAACTACATGGGAAGAACATTCTAGTGAGAAGTAAGAGACACAGGGTGCCCAGTTAAATTTAAAGAATATGAATTACAGGACAACTGGAGACATCCATAGCACTCATGAAAATTCATGCCATGTCTTTGGTCTGTATAGTAACCTATCTGAGGACATCATTCACCCATAGACATATATGCACCTCTGTATGACCAGTTGTGGAAGGATACCTAATAAGGGAGCTGAGTGTCTACTCTTGGTAGCTGACAATCAACCTCTATTAGCTATCTGCACTTTGACAAGGCAAAAGATAGATTTGCTCAGTGGAAATTAACTGTATATCATCTTCAGAGAAACTGGATAATAGCAATAATGATATGGTATACATTTTTTCAACTCTTTGATGTTAGAATAGGGACTGGCAATATGGTCTGAAAGAAGGTTGTACGATGAAAAGTAATACATAAGTAGTTACTGACCATTTTATGGCCCTGAAGAGGATAGTCAAAGGGGGGTAAGACCCTGCTCATGAAAAAAACCACATTCTGAATTTAGAAAAGGTTAGGGATTAGCAGAGGCTCTCTTCACTAGTTCTTTGAAAGTGGGTGACAAGTCTGGGACAAGAGGTGAGAGAGTATGAGGAGGTACACAAGTAGTGAAGCATTGTGCGTCCCTTCGTTTCCGTCAGAAATTGAAAATGTTATGTGAGAATTATTCTTGTCAATAGAATAAACAATTGGAGACTAAAAGCAGTTATGGATCATGTACTAATTTCCTATAGTTGCCTCTCAGGCCCACAGCAGAGTTCTTTAAAAGGATCCGGGAAGACTCACCATGAGCAAGAGGATTACGCTGGCTCAAAACCTTGATTCTAGATAAAAAGAATATCTCATGACTCAGAAAGACCCTTGTTTTGGATTTGCATGTCTGACAATCAAAACAAATACCACAACCATCATTAAAGGCTAATAGGGAAAATGTTATATTAATTTTAATGTTTATTATCCACTTAAGTAATTCAAGTAAAATTAAATTAGCTTTGTGTCAAAATATATAATTGGCTTATATGAATTGATCCACAAAAGAAGCAGGTCTTTTGAAAACTGGAATCCCCTATTGATTAAATTTCGTGATAATAATGGTAGGGATGACAAGAAGTTGATGAGGTAGGTCTCACAATTCATCCTGTGGTCAAATTTAATACAGGTGAAGAAAAGGGCAGATTGGTATAACATAGATTATTGGGATTATTTTTTTTAATATGGAGAATTTGTAGTGCTTATTGAAACATTGATTTCTTACTCTTTTTCTTCAACCCTACTTTGGTGGATTGCATTGATGAGTTCTGGAGGGTCAGTTGTGGAACATGATCCTGTGAAATTCCTTCCAAATATAAGTACCAATCATTCCTTCAGAATGGGTCATTCATACTCTTCATGTTTGTAAAGTGGGATTGTGGAGTTTTATCGCTGTGGTGGATGAGGCAGGGTTTACTTCTGTGTATGTCTGAGTCTTAGTGAGAGGTGATGCAGTGCTGCTCATGACTATATGGAGACAGCAGCTGGATCTAAGACTCTTGTTTTCTTATACATGCTGCACAACCATCAGCAAGACAGTTCAACTTCAGCATCCCAGAGTCTACGTCTGTCTATAGGACAGAAATGATCTTATATCTCTCCAGACTATTCTGAGAATACTGGCAAATACTTTAAAGGACTATGCAAATGAGTATAGTTATGTTATTAATCCTGTGAGATATTTTAGATAAATTTAGAACAATATGTGAGATTTTCTGCTTATGGTATATGAGTCTTAAAACCTTCTAATACTGTGCTATTATGAATGACAGTATCTCTGCATCTGAATACCTGTCCCTAGAATACACTAATTACAAGAGATAATTAAGTCTGACAACATTCTCCCTGGAGTTTTGGAAAGTTTTTCAGCTCTCCATGTTTATGTTTCTAACTTTGTTATAAATATTTGATCTCTTCCTAGCTCACCCCAATAATGATTTAAATTGTCTTCACATGCTAATGACTGGCCCTTTGGAAGATGTTTCTGAAGCTTAAAATGTAAACAAATATTTAGAGCATAACAAAGACCCACAAGAAACTCTGGCCTGTTTTATAATTGTTTTCTATGATTTAGCCTGAATCTTTGGACAAGAGAGTGAGAATATTCCAAATAGGATCATCTATTGGCATTCCCCGAGGAACAAACTACAGGTAAGTAGAAACCTGAAGAAAACAACAGGAGCACACCCCATGCTATCTTGTTCTCACCTTTGTCTCCTCACTGCATCCTGACAGTACAAAGAATGAAGAAAGTTGCTTTCAGAACATGATGCAAAAAGGTTGTTAAGGAACAGACCCAACTCTAACCAGGAAAGGAAACTACTCTTCAGGCTCAGGACTGTATCATATTCTGTCTTTTTGTTTTGAAAATCCCGAGTTTGAAGTTGTGGATAAGCTATCAGCTTAGATGCTTTAGGAGGAGACATCTATTTTTTCCTCACATATGGAACTTTCTTCAATTGGAGTCATAGAGATTTGCATTTCAGAACACTCGGTATCATCCACAGGAAAGCTTTTTGGTAAGAATTGATGTCATTTAAAGAAGAGGACAGACGAAGAAGCTCTTTGTTTATTCTAAACTCAAGTTTCATTTCTTTTCCTGCATCACTTTTGCCTCTTTAAAAGCATTCATTTTTGCTTTATCCCCTACCTTTTCAGCAAACAGAATAAATCCTGGGCTCCCTTGACTAGAACCTAGAAACATTGTGGAACAGGTATTATCTCTTTTCTTCAGTAGCCAAGTAATTTGAACCCAATTAGTACACCCGCAGTCTGCTGAAAAAATTTTTTCCATTCCAGATTTACAAAACTGTAATACAACAATTTGATTATATCTCTGTCCACAATGCCTGCAAAACAATTTTTAAGTAGTTGAGATTTATCATTTATATAGGTCACAATGACTGTTTCAAATTATGACAAAAATATGATTCCTATATCTGAATGTGAATGGATTCATGTTATATAGAATCTTCTGTAAATATGAATAAACATAAACTACCTCTTCTAAAAACACTTTCTGGCTTTCTCTGAGCCAGGATTACTGTAATTAAAGCCTCTTTATTCTTGTTTATTATTTGCCAAGGAACATTACTTTGGGTCTGAGACTCTTAACTGCAACTAATTATGACCCAAGGAAGAATCAAATGTGTTTTAAATTCCTACACTCTACCATAAATTCAGCATAAGTGATCACATCAGAGCTTAGCCCAGGCTAATGAGCCTCTGTTAGTGCCATATGTGAGCACACAAAGCTGGGAGAAGCTGGAAGTACAGCCTACTGCCACGCAGTGGTGGCTACATCTTTTACACACATACACACTGATGTGACAACTTATGATGTCATGGAGACACTGGGGCCCTAGATGAAAACCAGGGGCATTTTTCTACCCACTGAGAAGTGTCTTGATGGACTTGCTACTTCTCATGGGATAGTGGGGCTAGAGCTGGGCAAGAAGACAAGGAAAACCTTTCTTTTAAAAGAAAAAAAAATAGAGTAGCCCTGGATAACAAAAGAATTAGGTTCCTATGATGCCCAGAGCACTGGACCCTGAACTTAACCTATAGGTTTTTTTCTTACCCAGGTTTCTGGAGAAGTGACTTTCACACTAAATAGTGAAAGAGACCAGAAAACCCAGAAAGAAGAAAGTGGGTTTTGTAACGAATGGCATTTGTTGGTTTAATAACTCAGTATCAGCCAAGCCCTAGCTGTGAAGGCTCCAACAAAGCTTTAGCCTGACCTTCAAGCTGAAATGAGGTAGATACACCTGTTCTGCATTTATAGAATTGAGCTGAGAACTCATAGGTAACAGGCAGATTGTCTTTCTCTAAGAAAATAAAATTTTCTGGTATCAAGTTGACCTAAAATGAACTATGTCTCTCTTACCTAAAGAAAATGAATTTTTAGTCCTGTTTTTTACACATCAAAAAGGGAAGAGATGATTGCCCTGAAGGGTGAGTGCAGAGTGAGTGCTCACAGCTGAGTGTTGATGAGAGAGGGACAGCTCTTTAGAACACCCCACATTAATCTTTCTCTAGTGCTTGCACACTTAATGTTCCCCAGTCAAACTCCAGGAGCTTCCAATTACCTCAAGAACAAATTATAATTCCTTAACATTACATTTAACATACCTCACAAATTTACAAGTCAGCATTCCTTCACTTCCCTGCCTGAATGTTGTACTTCTGCTGTACATTGTCTCTTCTTTAGATGCCCTAAGGACCCGATGGCCTCAGTCAATGGCCTAAGACTGCTTCTCAGCTCATGGGGACCATGTGATGAAATCCTTTGATAATTCTTTCTCCTTCCCACTCTTTGAAATATGTCTGTGCTTACTCACTGAGCAATTCAGAAGCTTTCTGGGGAAAAGTAAATGGTTTCCTATAAACATTCCTTACCATAGAGGATTGCTGTGGTGCTTTTACCAACGACCATATTGTGCTCCAGCACTCCACACAATCAAATGGATTCTTTAAAAAAAAAAAAAAAAAAAAGGAGAGACCAGCATCCTCCAAAGAGAGAAATTCAAAATGGCTCACAAATTCTGCTATAAAGCAGGGTGTAACACTCCACCATAAGAAACAGAAAGGTCAGTGGGGAGCAACCCCTTGATTCTTCTACCGTGTCTGTTTGTATACTCTATGAGCGTGGCAGCTTATTACTAGGAGGGGCACTAAGTCAAAAGAAGAAAGGTTCTCCTGGAGACTTCTGACTGAGTGAAGGCCCGTGACTGAGACTTATCTAAGACAACCACGTTCATCTACCTCAGATTAGACCACAGACTTGGGCAAGAACTGACTCTCACTGACCCTGAGACCTGCTTTTCATTCTCCCTTATTACTAACCAACCCTCCACTCTATGACTTTTTCTTTAGCTAGATTACAAATTGTAGTTTTAAAAACATCTAGAAGGCTTTTGATTTACTCCTTTTCTTTTAATGTGTTTCTTTCTCTTCCAATCCATTATTTATTGTTTTTATGGTGTAGCCAAGTTTCTCCCATTTTTACATTTACAATAGTCTCTTCCACTAAAACTGCATTTTTATCAGTGCTCCTTAAAATATGACCTCTATGTATGTCTCCTTTGCTCTTTAATGTGGTGTTTTCTGTCTGTGCCTTTTTGACTTGGGCTTTTGTTAATTGTTCTCTCTATTTTCTACTCTATGAAATATTTTCCATGTTCTTTTAAAAGCCTCCTATCCTTACTAATATTCTCCAATTCCATTAGTGTTTTCTCCTCAAACTCACAATTTCTTTAGATTTATCTCTAAAAGTACATGGATGCTGGTGAAATATTACTTTAATTCCTGTTTTATTATGCTCTATACATCATAAATCACTTTTGACAGTTTTTCAGTATCTGTTTATGTTGTTGTAGATGTTAGGTTCAATTGCTTCCAATTTTCGTAAACCTTTCCAGGTGCAGAGTCATGTGATAGAGGTGTTACAGAGATCATGAACATCTGAGCTGTCGATAGCTTCCTTTGGCTATAAGCAATGCCATGATCAATTCCATCAAGCCAACTTTCCCAAAGAACTTAGCTAGGATGGGCTCCAAGGGCTAGGCACTCGATCCTATCCAGCTTCTGTTGGTTTTCTTTAAGTGAACACACACACACACACACACACACACACACACACACACACACACACACACACGCCATGGTGTCCTTGTAGAGGTCAGAGGACCACTTGCAGGAGTTTGTACTCTACTTTTACCCTGCAGGTCCCAGCTGTGGAACCCAGGTCATCAGGCTTGCTGGCAGGCACCACTGAGCCACCTCACTGGCCCTGTATCCAATTTTAATGCCGAAAAAGACTTTCAAGTAAACTAGTGTATCCTCCTACTGTAATTCTACCTGACCCCAGGCTTGTGTTTATTTGATATGTCTGTTGAAATGATCATGTTTGAACACTTGAACACTTTTCAGATGTACTACAGTATTTCTATAAGATACCGATTCTGAACATTTAGTGAGTCAGAAAAGTGACCTCCTGATTTCCAGCCTGGGTAACAGACAAAAATACAAAATCTAAAAGAAAACAGTAGTAATGGAAAGAAAGAAAAGGTGACAGTGATACCCACTAGTTTATTTGGTTAATATCCATTAATAACTACAATAAACTGAGACAAAATATTGTATTATAGATAATTAATTCCCAACATTTACGCACCAAATCCAGACTATTAGACACTCATTTCCAGCCAATTAAATCGGAACTTGCAGACATGGCAATAAAACTGTTTGGGATCTAAACATTTGCTCTCTTAATGGAGAAAAGTCAGGTAGGTATTCCTTATTTAAGGCCTAGATTTGTGATGAGGAACTTTAATATATAAACAACAAAATGAACTCAGCAGATAGTTTATATATATGTATATATTTATCACATATAATCAAAGAAAAAAGTCTATCAACTTGAAAGTGAGGAGGTATGAAAAAAGTCTATCAACTTGAGAGTGAGGAGGGTAGCTGGGAGGGGCTGGAGAAAGTAAATGGATGAGGGAGTGATGTAATTCTATTTCAATTAAAATATTTTAAAATGAAAAATTCTTAATTAAAATTAATAGTACTGAAAAATATCTCCCCCCCTTATACTGTGACAGCTAAATACACACCAGCAGCAACAAAGACTATGATTATTTTATGAAGGGGCTCTTATAAATTTCCATTAATAAATTTCTTTCTATTATTCCCAGAGTTCTGCTGGAGGACAGGCATATTCATATGGAGAGAGCCAATGATTCCATGTTGACAGAATTTATCTTGGTGGGGCTTTCTGACCACCCAAAGCTCCAGAAAGTTTTATTTGTGCTAGTTTTGTGCGTGTATCTGATAATCCTGCTTGGAAATGGAGTCATTATCTCAGTAGTTATCTATGATGTGCACCTGCACACCCCCATGTATTTCTTCCTCTGTAACCTTTCCTTCCTGGATATCTGCTATACAAGCTCTTCTGTCCCACTAATTCTCGGTAGTTTTCTGACAGGAAGGAAGAGAATTTCTTTTCCTGAGTGCATGGTGCAAATGTTCCTCTCCTTTGCCATGGGTGCCACAGAATGTGTGCTTCTAGGCACAATGGCACTTGACCGCTTTCTGGCCATCTGTTACCCACTGAGATACCCTGTCATCATGAGCAAGAGTACTTATGTGCCCATGGCGGTTGGATGCTGGGTTTCTGGGCTTGTTGACTCGTTGGTGCAGACATCTCTTGCAGTGCAATTACCATTCTGTACTAATAATGTTATTCACCACTTTGTCTGTGAAATGCTAGCCATTCTGAAACTGGCTTGTGCAGATATTTCCATCAATGTGATTAGCATGGCAGGGTCAAATCTGCTTTTCCTAGCTGTTCCATTGTTAGTCATTGCTATCTCTTACGTTTTCATTGTTGCCACTATTCTGAGGATCCCGTCCACTGAAGGAAAGCAGAAGGCCTTCTCCACATGCTCTGCCCATTTGACAGTGGTGATTCTGTTCTATGGAACCATCTTCTTCATGTACGCAAAGCCCAAGTCTAAAGCCACTGCTGGGACAGGGCATCAAAGTGTGATCGAGGCCCTCATCTCCCTCTTCTATGGGGTGATGACCCCCATGCTCAACCCTCTCATCTACAGTCTGAGGAACAAAGATGTGAAGGCTGCTGTGAGGAACATGCTGGGAGGAGAACGTCTGATAAAACAGAAATGATTACTTAGACTGTGTGACTCGATATTTGAAGCTGTTATAAACACAAAATCCATACAGATCAAAATGCCACATGAAAATTGGAAACTGTTAAAATCTTTTGGTTGCTTTTGTTACAGTTAGGTTTTTGTTATACTTGCAGAAATGAGACATATTGAAATTTGTAAAATACACTATTATAGAAATGCAAGAATGCTGAAAACATTTTAGTAATTACTCAGCAAGGAAAAAATAAACTCTTAAACATTTAGAAAATAATAGGTAAAATGTTTTAAGAAATGCATTTATTTAAAATTCTTAAAAGCAGTTCATAGTGTGTTGTAGGTGCACTGTTGTAGGTACAGTGAATATTAACAGGTACATTCACTTTATTTACCCACTTATTTATTATTTGTATTCAATGTGCATATAAATTACCTGATGATAGAATCTTATCTGTTCTTTAGCCTACAATAACCCAACTTATCATAGGGTTTGAAACATAATAAATGCTAAATATTTTTAAATAAATGCATGAATCACCTGATGTATGATATTAGAAATGTATTTCTGTCATACCCCAAACAGCAAAATTTACTAAAAGAGAAAATTGATAAGATTAAATGTTTTAAATACATTATATATATTGGTGTGTAGCTGGAGTTTTCTCCAGTTCTGCCTGACCCACGGTCAAGACAAATCTCTCTTACCCGCCAGTCCTGCAGCCACTCAGACCCAACCGAGTAAACACACAGAGACTTATATTGCTTGCAAACTGTATGGCCGTGGCAGGCTTCTTGTTATCTAGTTCTTCTATCTTAAATTAATCCATTTCTATAAATCTATACCTTGCCACACGGGTTCGTGGCTTACCAGTGTCTTACATGTTGGTACTCATGGCAGCGGCTGGCAGCGTCTCCTGACTCAGCCTTCCTGTTCCCAGAATTCTCTTCTCTGCTTGTCCTGCCTATACTTCCTGCCTGACTACTGGCCAATCAGCATTTTATTTATACAGAGTGATACCCACAGCATTGGTGTTTTGTCACACAAACATTATTTAATAGCTAAGGCATCACTTTTTTTTTTGTTTTTGTCATGTTCATTATAACTGAGGGGACAGGGTTTTGCATGCCTGCAATGATAGCTTTTCTGAGACTTTGTTCATAATGAGAACACAGAGATGAAAAAGTTCTAATACTGCATCCTGTGCTGTAACGTCTTAAACTTCAGGTGACACTGTAGCAGAGCATGCCTCTTGTATTTTGAGCTGAGTGCTGGCTGGAAGGAGGACCTCATCCTGCTCTGTATGGGATCACCCACTCTGCTGTACGCAGCAACACAGCCACACAGAGCTGGTGACTGAAAAAACTTGCCATTTGAGGATGCGTGGCCAAAGATCTTGAGCCAAGTTCTTCAATGAACTTGATTTGGGAGATTAGGAATAAAAATGATGGTCCAAAATGGAAATTCTGCTTATTTGTTGAATAGTGCAATCATGTGAGCTAGCACCCATCTGATCTATGAAGACCCCACTTTCACTGAGGGAGTCATGCTTAGTCAGTACCAAGGAGTACTACCTTATCTAACTCTGAGGAGCTGTGGTCATTGAATATGGAGTAAATGACTGCAGCTATTTGTTGTCAGAGAAAGCTCACAAAACCTTTCTTATTAATGGCTTGTTACTTCACAAAGTAAAATGGGACAATTCAAAAAATGGTCTCATTAACTCATATTCCTTAGTTATTTGGTCAGAGTCTACATGTCACACATCAAACATGTCACAGAATCAGTAAGTAAACTTATTTTAAGCTAAACTGTAGAGGTTCAGATACTGTTACTGTGTCCTAACCATCCTAAACACACACATACACACACACACACACACACACAAACACACAGACACAGACATGGACACACACACACATACACACACACAGACATGGACACACACACACACACACACACACACACACACACACACACACACACACTACGGGGAGAAGTTACAAGCTGCACCAAAGTTGGAAGAACTACAGGAATGCAATAGTAATAAAGTTGTCCCAGTGGGAAATGCCAATGTCATCCCATCAATGGGTCTTGAGCCTGGTGCTAATTAGGAGATGTGAGCCCAGAAATCTTGCATTGTGCCTGAACACTCTAATGAAACAAAGTGGGTTTTCAGAATCGCTTTTTGGTTTGACAGGATGTACTCAGCACAATTGAACCTCAAATACGTACTGTTACATCCTGGAAGCACAGATTTGAATATAAGATTGTCAGGGAAATAGATAAGTTCCGTGTCCCAAACATGTCAATAGAGTGATTTCACAAAAGATGGGGTCAAGCAACTGCTTTTAGATAGAGCGTATTTTCTACCTCTACCACCAGCTAATAAGTCTTCAGATAGGTGTCCCTTCCTTGTTCCCACTAAACAGATTTAAAGGCTCCTTGGGAAAACTAATCCTTATTTTTAATCATTCAAGGTTTAGACAAAAAAAATAAATATATAAAAATATACTGAATTAACCACTTTATTGAGACTCCATGCACACTATTACCATAATCAAGGTAAGTAGGCCAAGCCTATTTTTGAAAACAACAGTACACTAAAAGAAGTATGTTATTCACTATACAACCTTTAAAAAGGCACTTCACCTTACTTCTTTCTGTATGTTTTAAGGAGATATATCTATGTATAAAAAAAGGTTGAAATTAAAAGACAGAAAATGCATGCTAGGCAAATTATTCAAACACTGGTATTTCTATATTAATGACTAACAAATGGATTTATGACCAAATAAAAACTATTTCTAATAAAGGGATAGTTGTTTTATGACAGAAGGTGAATTTAATCAAAGAGATGTACAATTCTGAATGGTAGCTCTCCTAACAAAAGATTTTCAACGGGTAAAAAATTAAATGGCCTTTACATCCTTCTCAAGTATTAAGACAATAAACAAAGATTTATAATGGTGTAAAATATTTTAGCAAAAATAAATCCTATTCTGATTGAACACACACTCTTCTAAAGCCTATGTAGGATGTTTTTAAAAATTGATGTTATGACAAACTTATGCATGACCAGCAATTTCAAAGAAATTATATTAGCCAGTCTGCACTTCTTATACTTTAGGCAATTTAAGGGTAATTAATGAAAGAATCCTTATAATCTGGTGCAGTTAAAACACATTTGTAAATAACTGAAGAGCAGTAGTATTAAAAATGTTCAATGATTCTCATCATGACAGTCAGAATGCATATCTGCTATGAACATCTAATATGACCATGGGAATACGTTCTAGCTAAATATTGTCCTTTTTATAGGTCAGAGAAAAAAGTTAAACATTTCAAACTTCATGAAACAAAGCCTGTGATTTTAGCTACTTCTGTAACTGTATTTATTGTTTATATGGTAATTATACCATAATCTTTGTAATTTTTACCATCACTTCCTGTAAAATTAGCTATAATTCAATAATATTGAGTAATGTATAATAAATTATGCTAGATACCCACATAGCCTTTTAGGAATATTCACATTTAAATTCTTAGCAGGATGTTGATTTCAGGGAATAGAAGAGAGAAGAAAGGAAACAAAAGGAAGATGAGTAGAAAAAAATCAGAGAATTTAAATTCAGAGGCAACATGCCAGGTATTGTAGAATATTCATATGATGCTATTTCTGATTAAATTATCACAATAATATTGAGAGTTATATGACCTCATTGTTAATTTACAGACAAAGATTCTAAGACACACAGAGGTTAACACACTTGGATGCTTCAGCTGGGTTTCTATCTTCTTAGGTTGACAGGTCAGTTAGGAAATCTAAAGTCCAGGTATTTATTTGAGTCAGGAAAATAACCTAAAGTATGTGAAATCATAGAAAATCTGAGGAGGAGAGGGAGAGTGAGCAGGGGCGGGAGAAGAGGGAAAGGGAGGAGATTGATTTTTAAAATGGATCCTAGAGATAATCTGTCAGACTCCTCTTATTAATGGCTTATTGTTGTTTCACAGAGTAAAACTGGGCAATTCAAAAAGGAACTTCATTAACCCAAATCCCCAGGTTATATGGTCAGAGACTACATGTTACTTGTCACACACCAAACACGTGGCAGGATGAAACATGTACCTGTAACGGCAGCTGACCGATTGGTAGTACCATTTTTTGGTAAGGACTGTCAAAATCAAGAAACTGGGCTGCACGGAAGCAAGCAAGAACATGAACATGGGTGCATTCACCTCTCTCTGTTCCTGACTCTGATGTAATATCGTCAGCTATTTCAAGTTCATGCTCTGATGTCCCTCCTATGAGGGACTGTAGCATTGCACTGTGAGTCAAAAGAAACCATTTATTAAGTTGCTGCTTATTGTGGCAGAAATGAAACTAAGACAGTGAGTGCCCCCAATATAAATTTTCATACCTTATACCTTTGATCTTGATTATACCTTTGATTAATAGTTATTGGAAGGTAGGAGAATGTCCTATCTGTGTTTTACTATGGGTTTTCTTCAAAGCTGTTAACTGAACAAGTAGATCAATGTACAGGATGATGACCAAATATGGGCTGATTATGAAAGAAGTCATAAAACAGAAGTTTTCTCTGTTCATGAGCCTGATACAGCATCTTCCTCCTGGGGATGTCATACACATGCTTGAACTCCCTCAAGGAGGTGGACTGTAAGCATTGTGACCAAGGGCTTTACTAAACCAGAAAAACACTGAATAAACCCAAGGACAAGGCTTTTCAGTGTGGCACTCTTAGGAAGAAGAGAAGATTGAAGAGTTTTTCACTTGTTAATAGAGGCAGAAACCCTTTACGTTATATCTGAATGTACAGTTTTAACCTGTGTAGATGAGATTATTGCACCCATACCTGCCTTGCTTATATTCACCTTAAGCCTATGCAAATGATTTCTCTTTCTGAATCTTAATGTTCTCATTTATTTTGAGTATTAGACGTACTACTTTAAGAATCTGTGTTATGTAGACCTCCCCTCATGCCAGAGGATGATTTATTGAACAAACCCAAAACAAGAGATTAGGGGGAATTCAGTTGCTAATGGTAACAATGGATTTCCAGGATGAGGGAAACCAACTAGCACAGAACCACTGATTCTGGGCACTCTGTTTGATGCTTCAGATAATATGATTCGTTGTGCAAATATAACACATCATGACTTTTCAGCATGTGAAAAATTCAATGCAGCCATTTCCAACCTCCTCACACTCTTTAGAAAAAGAAGTACAACTTTTTTTTTTTTTTTTTTTTTTTGGTTTTTCGAGACAGGGTTTCTCTGTGTAGCTTTGCGCCTTTCCTGGAACTCACTTGGTAGCCCAGGCTGGCCTCGAACTCACAGAGATCCGCCTGGCTCTGCCTCCCGAGTGCTGGGATTAAAGGCGTGCGCCACCACCGCCTGGCCAAGAAGTACAACTTTTTTTTTTTTTTTTTTTTTTTTTTTTTGGTTTTTTCGAGACAGGGTTTCTCTGTGTAGCTTTGCGCCTTTCCTGGAACTCGCTTTGGAGACCAGGCTGGCCTCGAACTCACAGAGATCCGCCTGGCTCTGCCTCCCGAGTGCTGGGATTAAAGGCGTGCGCCACCACCGCCCGGCCAAGAAGTACAACTTTTAACAGGAGAAGCAAAGAGGCTTGCTAAGGGTTGGAAGAGAGGCATGGACATGCAGAAGGCACTCAAAAAACCTAAAAGGGAATATATCCTAATGCTAGGAAAAAAAAATTGTAGAAACTGATATCAAGATAACAAAAATATTATTATAGAAAAGGGTTACTCTGACTCAATACATTTAGGAATGGCTCCATTGCAGATTAGCGAGGCACTGTGGTGAGTGAGTCCATGGTTGTCATAGGATCAGTGGGACTCTAAACCGTATCACAGAGATTATTCCTCATCAGTGGTTAATGTAGTACTATTCACAGTAAACATGCTATAGAACAAACCTAGGTGCCCAACAACAGAAGAATAAGGAAAATATTGTATATATGTGTATGTGCATACGTACAATGGAATTTTCTTTGTTAACTGTGTAGAGGTTGTTTGCAGGAAGGTGGATACAACTGTAGATAGTCACACAAAGCAAATTAAGCCAGTTCCAGAAAGACAAACATGCTTTCTTTTATTTATAATTCCTAGACTTTGTGCAAATATATAAGATTATATATGCATATATATATATATGTGTGTGTGTGTGTGTGTGTGTGTGTGTGTGTGTGTGTGTGACAAAAAAGTAGAGGCTGAGTTTTCTAGGGAAACAAAGATGACTAACAGGTATCACAGAGCAAGAAAAGATAGCAGGGAAGTAAGGAAAATGCCTTATATATAAATGTATGAAAATTAAAAAACTCAAATAAAAATTTAAAAAAGAGTCTTCAAGATACCAATAGGAATTTATGTTTATTATCATGTTTACTATTATGTTTATATTCATGCTGCATACTAATTAAAAGTGAAGCAACCACTTTGGTGACAAATACTTTTTGTAACTCAGAGAAGAAGCCATTAAACACATCAGTTAATCTTAATAAAGACTTACATGTATGTATGTTTTGATCTATAAATGACATACTTTCTTCTAAAATTACATTTATTACCCTAGGTCACATAGCTGGAAACAGTTTAGTTAGGATTAGAATACCACTAAATAAATTCCAAATTTATACACCTGTTGCCCAACTATGTCACTTCATTTTTGTTCATTGATAAAAGATCTGTTAAGATTTCCCAGTTTCCAGCTCTCTAAGACCTTGACCATATAAAACAAGGTGCTTTCAAGGAGACAGCCAGCATAGGAAGTCTCCATTTCTTTTCTCCTTGTTATCTCATAGCCTGGTAATCCCCTCCCACAGGAGTACAGAACACAGTCAGTATTTATACCTGAGCACAGAACCACATCTCAGAGGACGTCATTATAAGTTTACTGACCTACTTCTGTCTGAGTCAAAGGTACAAATAAGTTGCGTGAGGTGAGATCCCATGTGCCTGTTAACAGTCTAAAGTCAAGCTTGTTAAAGTGAATGGGTAACTTTAACATCACTCTTCCCTCCACAAGTTTTCTGGAGGGAATCTGTGGGGGTGGATTCCTAGGAGATTGATTCCCTTCATAGTTAAAACTAAACAAGAAAGAGTTCTGTGAGGTCATCATGTGGGAAGATCTCCAAGTGTGTTCAGTACTCTGTGAAAATCATGCCATGTTCTATGTAGTTCCAACAATAAGACCTTCTGAAATCTGAAAACCAAAGAAAACCAACAATAGTGTAAATGAGATGTATTCCAATAAAAACAGACTCAGAGTGACTGACTGGTGAAAAAAGGAATTTTTAATATTGCATTTGGTTTAGCCACATGGGATTAAAGATTTGTCCGTTACTTTCTATCCTGTCTGTTTAAAGTCAAATACACTAACTATATAGCTATGAAAGTATGTGAACTTATGACCTCAAGGACATATTAAATCATGAAAAAAGTTAATTTTCACTACTGAAAGTTAACCTAAAGTCCATATAATTATTGTATTTTTTTTAAATGATGGAGTTGCTTGAAATAAAATGAACCTGACTTTTGGAGTGGGAAATTCTTTTTCTTTCAATACTCACATGAATCCAAGAAAATTATGGGTAGGATACAAAGGAGACCCCAATGGTAACCTAAGATAAGATCTGTCTTAGTCATTCTTTTATTACTGTGAAAAGGCACCATGTGAAGAGTGGCCAAAGCAACTCTTATACAGGAAAATGTATAGTTGGGGCCTGGCTTACGGTTTCAGAGTTAGTCCATTATCATCATGGTGGAAAGCAGACAGGAATGGCACTAGAGGAGTAGCTGAGAGCTTTATGTACTGATTTGTAGGCAGCAGGCAGAGAAAGAGAGAAAGAGAGAGAGAAAGAGAGAGACAGAGACAGAGAGAGACAGAGAGAGACAGAGAGGAGAAGAAGAAGAAGGAGGAGGAGGAGGAGGAGGAGGAGGAGGAGGAGGAGGGAGAAGAAGAAGAAGAAGAAGAAGAAGAAGAAGAAGAAGAAACTGGGCCTACTGTGAACTTTTGAAACCTCAAAGCCCACATCAAATGGCACACTTCCTCAAACAAGGAAATAATCTGTATTTCTCTAACTTATCAAGGAATCCATTCTATATTCTGGTGGCAGATTCATTTTGTTTCCTTTTCTATGTTTATTTTTGGTTCATATTGAAGCAGAATGATTAACATGTCTGTTTCATTGACAAAAACCAATTGAAAATGATCATATGTGGCACTGACTTTAGGCAAAAATCATTCAAACATTGCTTTGTGTACAAATATAACAATGTCGAATGTCCTGGAGACGCTCTCAAATGTCAGCAATCATGATAAAGCCTGTTTAAAAATGTTCATATAACTGACCTGTGAGATGCTTATAATAATCATTTTATAACTCAAATAACTTATTAGAGTCTTCTAAGCCACAAGTCAAGAAATTACAATGCCCACTTATGGACATGCAACTCCAAAGCCATTCTCTTTTAAAGAGATGCATATTTGTAATCTCAATATAGCTAGAGGAACAGTGAGCACATTTATTGAGGGCCTCCTGCCCATAATAATGTCAAATTACTCAAATACTTCTCTTCATTAATTCTCAAATTGATAATATCTGATATAAATTTCTACATTCCTCCTTTCCATGACCAATATGGAGACTGAGACTCAGAAATGTCTAGTGACTTCTGTACAGCTATAGAGGTGGTACTTGACCAACCTCACTCAACCAACTCTAGTCACTCTGCCTTTCCCTCTCAAGTGACAGAGATGTTTTGCTCCTGTAGAGTCCGGCCAAACCAGTAGTCAGAAGCAGAATGCACAGTAGGGGTCCTTTAAAACCTTTCATTCCTAAGGTATTTTCTCCAGCAATACATGGAACAGAACAGAAGGCTAGAACAAGCAAGACTCAGAAATAACATATAAATTGTTGAAAAGCTGTCATGAGAACAGAGCATGTATGTGTCTATACATTGATTCCCAGAAAGAAGTATGAAGGTTAAACACACAGAAAGCAAAGAGCATTATGGTGACTATGATTATCCTAACATAACTCTTCTAACCTCATAAAGTACTATGCTCATCAGTGGGTTTGGGAGAACAGAAGTTGGTGACCATTAGTCATCCTGCAGATATGTTTCTCTCATCTTACAGGAGTCAAACTGACTCATTGTAAAATAATACCTGCCTCTGATGCCTATCATTTCAAATTTTAATATTTTGCTAGATTAATTCCTTATCTTTATGCTTTTGTAATTAATAACTGAAGTGGTGAGATTATACTTTAAAGAAGTAAAATAGAAGGATTCCCTTTATATAGTAAGTTATAATAATTATAGCATTATTAAAAATGAGAAAGCAGAAAAAGACACATTATTTAAACAGATCATATAGTAGATAAAAGTGAAATACAAATGAAATGGGATACTATCAGTCTGCTATAAATCATGTCTTCCCTGGGAATTTGATACTATGAAAAAACTGATTATGATACAATATTGAGCATAAAAGAATGTAATTACAGATAAAGGAGGATGTGTTATGGTATAGCATGATGCTCCTCAAGTTTATATTTGAAATTTATGAGCCTACATTTCTTCTACCAATTATGTTCAAGTTCATCTCAAGGATGATCAAGGTGCCTGGCATAAACAGGTGTCTAAATGTTTTGATGAATAAATAATGGAGAAAATATGACATGTTTAATAAAGTGTTTTTGAAAAAGTTAAAATTTTAAAAAGAATAATCTGTTCCATGGCTGAGACATCAAAGAGCATAGTCATCATATAGATGGAAATTTGAAAGGTCATATGATAGTATTTGCATTAACTAAAATTGCACTCAATGGGGAATAATATTTGAAAAAGTCAGAAGGAAAGACACACATTGAAAGGTTGCTTGCAGCCAAATATTCTACAACTGTGCTATGTGTGGAATTAAGGCCCATCCCATGAGATGAAGCCCATACTTGATGTTGATCGGGTGGCCAGGCACCTGAGATTAGATAGCCCAGGGACCTAGGGGAAAACCAAATACTACAGTTCTACTGAAGGAATGCAGCAATAAAATGACTCCTAATGACATTCTGCTACACTCAGAGATGTGTGTTTTGCTCGACCATCATCAGACAAGCTTTCTCCTGCAGTAGATAGAAACAAATATAGACACCACAACTGGACAATGTGCAAAGAGT